TAGGAAGACTTTCATATTCTCCGAGTATATTTTCCGATACTTCTTGAGTTTCTGTAGAGAAAATGTGACTATTGTCATTTTCATCACTTCTTTCTTCAGTAGTATCATTAACTTCGTGCGTCTGAAAGAAGATAATAGAATATTATATTAAGATAAGTTTCAAAGACGAACAGACAATAACTGACCAATTTTATTGCTTTTCGTTTAGATAATTAAGGAATAACAACAAAGTACATGATGAGTTGTTAAATTGTTATAAAGGAGAATGCCCAAAAACAACCCTGAGTCAAATAAAACTTTTTATTGACTCTTTAATAGACCATAAGTACGAGGTCACAAATACGCTATTCGTTTTGCACGAAAATTTCAAGCAAACCTCCCAAACCTATAGGATTTTCCAAGATTTCCATACCACGATTAATTTTGTTCAAGTATTATTAAAAACTAGTATAAACTGACTCTTAAGTGAGCACACTTTGATCCCGCTTTGTATGCTCTTTCTGCGGAATGCTAAACGGGTCCTTTTTTGACGATGGTTTTATTGAAGAGGTTTATTGAATCTGGCAAATATGCGACGCGAAGCGGACAACTAAACTCAAAAATGGTCACGAAAGACACAAAACATTTTTCGTTAGAGCATACATAGTACAGGCATTATATTTGGGCGAGTTACACTTCTAGTGCATATTGATGCGTGCGCGCAATAATTTTATTGCCGAGCTATGGGCCTTTGAAAAATGTTGTCAAAGGTTGCAAAAGATGCATTGCCCTTTTAACATATACATACGACGAAGTTGATCGTCACTAAAATCACTAACGCCCGAACACTGAAAGGCTACTCAATTTAAGTTGTACTTAAAAAACTCTTTCCTTTTACAAAGAATTTGCAGTAACAGAACTATTTTTAAGCAGGACTTAAATTGAGTGATGTTTGAGTATTACAGCGTTAGTCAATAAGATGAAACAAACATAACACTAACAGCAATATTACCGTACTATTTTAGACATATAATGTTGTACAATAATCCACAAATGAGTAATAATAATAGTCAAAACTGATTAATAATAATGAAGTAAATAAATAATAATAAAGTAAAGTCGCACTACAGACTTGTTGAGTCTGAGGTACCATACTACAAGTATGTGTCCGACCCTGTTCTGGAAAATGGTCATATCTAAAAACACGGCAGCGTGTCAGGCCAAGTTCAAGCAAATGAACTGGCTATAGCCAGCGCCGAGTGCAATATTACACCACGTACCACTTGGTGTCACTTTTGACCCCCACATAACTCAAAACCTATTAACGTGTGTCCATAAGAACTAAAGGGTGGTCAAATTTCAAGGACTGATGTTAAAGTATACATATAATCTTCTATATAAATAAAAATGAATTTCCGTTCGTTATTCTCGCTGAAACTTTAGTACGGCTGAAGCGAATTGATTAATTTTAGTCTTGAATTATTTGTAGAAGTTCAGGGAAGGTTTAAAAGGTGAGAATAAAAAATTAGAGGCGGTACGATGTTTGCCGTTAAGGTGTTGTAGTAGTCTTGATATGTTCATGGAATGTGCGAATATAAAATTTGGAAATACAAAGTTTACCAGATAGTTTTCAATTTTTATTAGACATTTCTTTTTAATAACATAATATTGATCTTGGCCAAGTCGAATCTAAACTACTTTAAAATATTACATAATAAATAACAGCAAACAAACAGTTATAGAAATAGAGTTTCATAATCGTTCATGACGTTATTATGTTGCTATAAAAACATTCGGATTTGAAACAGAACTTGGCACTCAATAAGATCTCCATTCTTTATGCAGCGGAACCGGCTTTTGGTGGGATCACATTGGACTGGGGCCGGTCTATCATCACTGACAGGACTGTTATGGACAATAAACCTGATATGTAGTGATAAATCGACTAGCGCGCCGCACGTTGTCTTCATTTCCCATGACGAGAACCTCGTGAAAGCTCAGAAAAATAAACAAATAAAATATTTGGACTTGGCTTACGAGGTTGCCGACATGCGGAATGTGCATTTGGCTATCATTGTGCCAATAGTCCTAGAATTCATATTATTTATATTGATGAAATAAAACTATATGCGTCTACCCCGAAAGATTTACATCTACTAGCACATCACACACACATAGACATCACAGTATTATTTTCAAACGATAGTGAAATGCATTTAGCAATAGGTAAATGCAAAAGTAGCTCAGTTAAATTAGGAAAAACTCACACTCATTCATTTCAACTATAGTCAGGTGAAAATAAAGATACTTTAGACGAAAATGGCACATACAAATGTTTAGGTTACATATACAAATTAAAGCCCAGCTAACCAAGTAGTTCAAACACACAGGGTATCCCTAAAGTCGACAAGGTTCAGGTGATCGCCAAGGTTCCAACAGTTATTAGGACATAAATTGTTCAAAACGAAATTTCGTTGAAAAATATTTTTTGTGTCGAATTTAAGAAATAATGTAGGAAGTGGAATATCCATTTAGAATCCTTATTAAATGCGCCAACGTTTGTGAATTTTGCCACTCCTAGCACAGTACGAATATTTTTCAGTTTGTTGGGACCTCGCCGATCACCATTTGATCTTCGACTTCAGGGACCACACAACACCACTTACAGAACACGAGAAACATTACCCGCGATCATGCCTACAAAGACTCACCGTGCCATGGCTGAAGAGGCATTACAGATATTACCAACATTCATAATAAACAGATTAATACTTTAAGATTCTACTTTTTCAACAAAGCTCTGTCTCAACTTTACATAATGCAAGAGTTCAATGTGATAAAAGACTAACATCTTTAAATATGGCAGACCAAACAACACAGAACAACGAAAAGCAGACTGACCTACAAACTAAAATCTATGAGTGAGCCCAAAAGTCACTACATGAGAGACACTACTACGACCTTAGCCAACCTAACGTCGATCAAGTTGCATCGAACGAATGGTTATGACGTGGTGGATTGTTTCCCGAGACTGAACGTTCATAATCGCGATTCAGAACCAGGTAATAAAGACACGCAATTACCAGTAGCACACCATGCGTAACTCGTTACCAACCGATACCTGCAGGGAATGTAATGGTGCATTGGAAGCATATTACAGGCACCTGTAAATCCATAGTTCAAACCGATTATCAGCACAGGCACAACGCAAGTACATACCGTACTATAAATATCAACCGGAAACTGTGCTTGACAACTCATCCCATAAAATATACTTTTATCGAGCCATCCTCACTGACAAAAGCACTAATTAAATTAGACCAGACATTATCCTTATTGACCAACTAACAACACTACACAAATCATAGACCAAACCGAACACCTACAACCTTCAACTTACAAAATACAATAACCGAAAAACTTTCTAAGTAAACGGACCTCAAAATTGAAATAGCCAGAATGTGGCGACTCAACAATAGTACTTTCAACAACAGGTGTGATCCTTAAATAACTCCATAATTCAATAAAATCTCTTAGATTTAACCCCTTACACAAGCCGAAGCTTCCAAAAATCTGCTACATATTTTAAATACTTGCCATACAGTTAGAAAGTTTTTGAATGAAACAGATAATGTTTCGTACACCCACACCCAAAATTGAGATACCTAAGTGGGTTAGCACTTGGCTTCGGCCCGTACTAACCCTCAAACCCGGCCTTGTTGCCGAGCTAAGATAAAGAAACAAAAAATAATAATAAAACTTACCTCAGTCTTTAATGTGCATCTACCATCATATATTCCTCGCAGAATATTAAATGCGCAATAACCCATTTCCCTTCTTCTCTTTAATTTCTTCAATAGTTGTTTTAGAAGGTAATAAATCCATTATTCTTTGCCAAGCGTCACTTTGCGTTCCACGATTCTTGATAATTTTGAGTTTCGGATCCCTCAAACATGTTTCTATTTGCAGAATCTCAAGAAAAGCATTACTTTCTCATCAGTCCATACGCCATAGTCAAACTACGTACTTTAAAACAAAAACGTGCGATTTGAGGACAAACACGTCATATTAACAGATCGTTGCACCGCATTAATTCTCGCATTAATCGCTTTGATGTACCGCCACTTGAACAAACGGCTATCGCCAAACGGCAATCTGACTGCCGTTGTCAAGTGCTATTAACATAGGCTTAAGTTTATTTACTAACATCGCTACGCTTCTATGTTTATTTATTAGTTACTTATTACCGCAGTACAGCTAGTTAGGAATAAAGAGTCAAAAGTCCCGATTGACCTGGTGTGCTCGTGTCTTAAGTTTTTAGGAATTAAAGGTCCAGAATCTTAAGTATTTTTGCATTTTTGACAAAATGACAAAATTAAAAAAAAATGAGAACAAAAATTAAAACTATGCAATTCAAAAGTATTGTCCCTCAAAACCGTATCACTACAGTTCATGGGCTAGGCATACCACCCTACTAGCACTAGAGAAATCACGTTACGTCAAGTGCCTAGAAGGTACCTACACTACTGAGGAAATGTCTTGATTCTTGGAATCATAATATCTTAGAAAGGTTTTCCTAGAAAATAATTACCTATGATAAAATTAACAATTTTTAATTAATAAAGTTGAACATTAAACCAAAATAACTTTTGATGCACACATAGGATCTATGGGAACTTTGACACTTTATTCCTATTGGTAATCCCAAGGCTCAAGCTCTATCTTCAGCAATATTTGGCCATATAAAGTATAATTTTATAATATCGAAATTATATAAAAAAGTAATTTTATTACTAAATTCAAAATTGCCACACATATTCATCAAGAAAATCACGAATAAGCTTTTAAAATTAAATTTAAGATGGAAAATCTCAAACAGGATAAGAACCTCCTTACAAAGATTTATTATACGATTAAGTTTTAGAACGTTGGCATCGTCATTTATTGGTATTTTAGAAAAGATAAATGACTATAACTTACAAAAAACTAATATATGCAAGTAAACTGGCAACTACAGAGTGAGTTTTTCATGTTAGCTAAAGTGTCTAGTGTAATATTTGAAGTTAGTTCTTTTTAAGTAGGTACCTAAAAATTTTTCATGTCAAGGAACCAGGTTATTCTGCCTATCCTTAAGTATAAAAGAATAAAACTAATAAAAAATCATAAAATGTAAAAAAAATATTGAAATAAGGTGATTGAAATAACACGTCTACAAAACAAAATAAAAAAGTACCAAAAAATACTTAACACACCAAATTGGCCCCACCGTAGTTTTGCTCACCAGATGACGCTAGTGTGAACATTTAGTTCTTCGTTCAATAGGGAATTAGCTAGTGTCACACCATTGGAAGTTCAATATTTGATAGCTGCTGTGATTTAACAAAATAACTCTTTTTCTATCTTTGCGCCATCTGGTGAGCGAAAACACGTAAGCCCCGATTGTGGACTAATTTTCAAAGTTATTTTGTTCGAAAGATTACACTCCCGAGGGGTCTCATTTTCACCAGTTCAGGATGTGATGATGGTATACTAGGTAAGTTTCCCTAATAAATAATAATAAAATAGGTATTTTATTAACCACTATAATTTTATAAAAGATCGAAGTAGCCCTGATGATAGTGTCAAAAGACTGTGAGGGAGCTCCTCAACTGTATACAGTACCTACCATGTATTTGGGCTTAATTAATTTGTATTGACTTGAACTTTACACTTAGTTAGGGTGTTGAAGGTTGGATTAGGTTAGGTTAGGTTAGAACGATTGTCAAGAGAACTTCTCAACGGTTAACAGTGGCTACCTTGTGTTTGAGACTGATTTTATTTATCTTGATGAGGAGTTTACACCCTTGAGGATTATAAGTAGTAAAACGTGTCTGTATACTAAATAAAAGTAAAAATAATTTTTTTCCTGTAAAAACCTCATTTTAAAAACCAACCACTAAGAATACAAACAGAAATAAAAAAAAAATAAAAAGCAAAAATAACTACACATGGGAACAAAGAAACAGAACATAAAAATATATATTTATTAATAATATATATATTAATATTAATTAATAAAATATAATATTAATTAATAAAATATAATATTAATTAATATTTAACTGTAATATTACTTAGTGTTATGTTAGTTTCATTGTAATTCCTTGCATGATAAAAAAAGTGCACAAGCCGTCCACTTCTTTTATTACTTTACTAGCTTTTACCCGCGGCTTCGCTCGCGTCACAAAAGGATAAAAAGTAGCCTATGTGACATATACCAATGCACACACCGCCATCTATACGAATACTTTTGCTTTTCCTCGGGAATAACAATTTTTCCGGGATAAAAAGTACACTATTATTTAATCCGGACTTCTAACTTTACGTCTGCAAAAAATCAAAGCAATCGGTTTAGTAGTCACGGCGTGAAGGCGGAACAAACAAACAAACAAACTCACTTTCCGATTTATAATATTAGTAAGGATTATTTCCATTTCAAATCATACTTAACTACTATATAAAGCGGAAGAATTTGTTTTTGTTTGTTTGTTTGAACGCGCTAATCTCCGTAATTACAATTTGTGTTGGATAGTGCATTTATCAAGGATGGACTATAAGCTATAAAACATCACGCTACGACCAATAGAAGCTGAGCATAGCTTGTGAAACCGCGCGTACTTACGCGCTTACTTATAAAGACTAGCTACTTAGTTAGTCTTATATTCTATCGAGGATGACTATAGGCTATAAAACATCACGCTACGACCAATAGGAGCTAAGCATATCGTGTGAAACCGCCGGAAGTAGCTAGTCTTTATTATATAAAGTAACAGTATAAATTCAGTTATTAAGAGTTTAATAGATAATTTTGTTTAGAAGTTACGCTATTGACTACTAACCTATCAATGGATTGGTAACCAGGTCATATCAGTACTAATAATAGTTATTTTTGCTTCAGTTTTAAATTATTTGATGTTTTAAGTCAGTATGTATAAAAAAAACACTTACTGTAAATGAAGACGCTTGGTTGAACTGGCTTAGTAGATCGTGTGTTTGCGCTTGCGCCGGTTCAGAAGACTCCTAGATTGAAACAGGAATATAATTAATAGTTATCATAACTGACTAACTTAATTATAGACAAATTGTATATTTCTGGTACCTCTATATATTCGTCCAGGATACGAAACCAATCTGAGCTCACGGCAGACTTCAGCAACAACCGGCCATTGGCATATTCTGCAGACTTCTTCTCGAATATGTATGATTGATATTCATGTTCACATTCCAGCTTCTGCAACTCCTGGCGGTACAGCTCAGCCCTAAATGTATAATTTGATTGTTTACTAATGTATCTCGTGCATTAGCTTGGTATACAAATATATATTAGCGTATAGCAACTATTTTCTAATTCGAAATAAGATATCTTTAGTAAACCGTACACTCGTGTTATTATATTGCCGGAATCAGTAGGTACACCAAAGGATTTATTGTCATCAAATTACGAAACCCCAGAATCATTATTTCGACATATAGAATCGCTGTGCAGACATCCCATATATCAATGTAATTACTTTATTTTCAAGCTATTATAGTCCACAGTTTTAATAAAATACCAAAACGATTTTTCAATTTTTTTCTAATCGATGTCAGTGAATGTGGCAAACAAGTAGTAGAAATATAGCCGGGATGTTATATTTTATTGGGCTTAGCAATTTACTTGGCATTTATTCGTTTGGATGAATGTCAATATTAAGTACGCAAACGGGGGTTACTCACGTGTTAAGAAACATTTTGTTTGTTACAAACGGTTTTCTTTCTTAATTGTTATATCGCACAGCATCACAGCATATTACTTGAAGCCCGCGTGCTATTTAACCATTAAGCTCTTTATGTTTGCATATTAGTGTTAATCAGTGAACTGGATGTTTAGTTTTCGCGGTCACGAGGTCTCCTTGGATTTTATATAATTTTGCATAATGCAAGCAAAAATTTAAGTGGTAAACAATATTATACATTGCCATAAATTCGCTTCTCCACTATTAAAAATTATAAATTGTAATCAGAATGCGCTTCGCTTTAAAACACTCGCCGATTCATTACCACTCTCATACATCACCGTGTCAAACCTTAATCCCGGAAAAATAACACAGCGCTACTATTTCTTAAATAATATCATGCGAACAAGTAATATGAAGAAGAATCTCATCATTGCAAACCTGAGTTCCCGCTGGATACAGTTTTCGCAGTGGCCGTCAACTTTGACGCAGTCCGCTTTCTTGGTTTTGCTTGGTCCGGCTGAGAACAAAATAAATATGCGCCAAGCAAATAACATTAGCTATCCTAGTGCAATTATAAAAAAATGCAATGAACAATGTGTTAAACAGTGACATATTGTCTGCCTACAGGTTTTGCTCTTTCAAACAACGCAATCAATCATACCCCAAACAGAATCATGTTCTAAACCTGACTGATAGTTACTGAGTCACAAATAAATAATTACTGCACATGATCTAATTTTGTGAGCGTACATTGTGTGTACAAAACCTAGTTTCTATCCATAGCTAGCCTGCACAAGATATTATTTCAAATTTAAGGGACAATGCCAATTTGTACGATAAATAACTAAGCCTGGCCAGGCCTGGCGCACTAGTCAATGTATGTATAAAACTGTACCATGCGGCTCAGCCACTTTGGAGTGACTTGTATACCTGCCACCTGCCTCCTGCCGATTGGCAGGTACCACGTGGCGAACAAAATAGAATGCCAGGGCCCTGTTCATTCTTTGCTCATTTTAACAAATAAAATTGTGAAATAAATATACAAGTCCAATTATTGACATTATAGAATGACAAATAATAATAATACCCTTCTATGAAAAGGCTAGTTCTCCCAAATGAAGAGTGGTACCATTATCACCATGGCAAGTAGCATGTGTTAATAGATTATTGATTTAGCAAGGCTTTGTGAAACTTAGGCAAAGTTCATAATGGCACGCGCTTAGCGCGCACTTGAAACGTATTATATAGTTATAGTTTAAGATCCGATATAATATCGACCTTCACAGAGCTGTTTCATGAATAAAAACTACTCGATAGATAATCTAGTTCATTAAACATTTAAAAAAAAAATTGTCTGTTTGGTAAAATTTTGACCAGGCAAATAAATTTACAGCAACGGTAAGTACACAGCTTATAAGTTATGCGAGCGGCGGGTTGCCTCTTCTTTTCATGATATAAAGATTGCGTTACTTGTTTATACGGGTATTTAGCTCTCAGCAATTATTACCTATTTGTGTAATGTACTAACTGAACATAAAATAAGTGTAGGTTTGTTTTGAATGATAGATGTAAAATTTTTAAAAGTTAAATTATTCCGACTGGTCAAGTATAACAGGGTCCGAGTCTAATATAAACTTTTAGGGCCGATTTGTTCAACGCCAGATAACTTTGAGTTGAGGAATAACTTTGAATATTTGAAATATTACATATGTTAAGTTAACTGCTGTGAGTAAGTTAATTATTACAATGTTAAGCTACAGTTAACTACAGCTAACAGTAGTAAACAGTAGTAATAGTAATAAGATACAGAACGCTTAATATACATTTGAAATAATAGACAATATTTATAAAGTACAACTTTGAAAACTGTACTAAATTAGATCTTGTACTAAATCGTGGCAACACTTATAGATCAACAATATTTTTTGGTTTTCGACTAATTTGTTGCATTTTTAAGACAAAATAATACTCACAGATGAAAAGTAACATTATCCTTTTGTTTACTTGATTTTTATTACTTTTTTTTACACTGCAATCCGAAATTTTTCACTGAAATTCGTACCGCGTCATTGCCATTTAGTGAATGTCACTGATCGCACGTCAACTACTTTTATATAACTGGTATGATTGGCAAACCTTTGGCAGCGGGGAACGCCAGACAATTGCTGCTCTTGTCAGTTAAGATACTTTAGTATAAACTCGATGATGAAATTAAAAAAGCCTAGTCAAGATTTCACCGGGAAACCCATTTTTTTATAATGTTTAATGAAATAAATTACTTATCGAGTAGTATCCATCGAATATCGAATAGTTATCCAAGCATGTTGAAAAATAGGTGGACGTAATGTCACTTAGAAATGATTGAGGACCCAAATTGTCAGTGGTTAATTTGTGTGAGCTTGTTACCAGGTTACCCAACAAAATGATATTATCCAAAATTATTAAATAACTTGAATAATTATTTTTAGGTTCCATTGGATTTTGTTTTTATGTGCTGCTTTTTAAGGAAGTTTAATTCAACTTATTCAACCGTGGCAATAAATTCAAACATAAGGAAGGTAGTTTTGTATTTTTAAAAATAAAATACAAATCAAATAAAATATATGTTTCGTTTTCATAAACATTTGCATTATTTAATTTCATTAATAAGGAAAATTTATCACGACGTTTGTAATTACCAGTTCCCATTATTTGCTGCGAAAAGTCAATCAAAGAAATAATAGTGTAAATTATGTGTATACAGGATACAACAAACTATATGACTTGGATTTTTTTATATATTTTTCTGATAACCGTTGGAAGCTTGTCTGGTGCCATTTGATCGTCGACTTCAGGGACACTTTATATACCTAATACAAAAGATTTACCCAAATTCAGGGTAAATAATATTATGTAAATTAACTTGCAACACCGTAATGTATGAAGTGTATTAACAGGCAATGTCAAGTGACTGAAGTGCTTTGTCTATAGTAGCCAGGCGTCACAGTCGTTGTTTCAAGAGGCTTTGTCCGCCTTTTTTTCAATGTCCTTGTTCTTATCCATGAAACAGTGTAGTGAAGGTAGATATTTTACGTAACCTTTACTGTTAAGGTCATCGCACACCTAACAAGCACGGATTTGGCACGACTCCGACCCTGCATTAACTTGTCATTTAAATATGAACTTTAAATCGTTTGTCGTATGATATATGGTGGTCAGCGTGTAGTTGAGGCGCCGGCGTACCAGGGCCTTTAGCCAAACGCTACTTTAGCGCTTGTCTACAGAGAGAGTAGAAATCAAAATGTATGGGGATGACACTGACAAGTGTCAAAATTTACGTCAATTCCATATAATTTGGTTTTCTATTCTACATGTAGTCAAGCGCTAAATGGCATTTGGCTACAGCTGCAGGTAGGTCTTCGTAAACCGCGCACGTAAGTCCAAGTCGTATTCAATCTTCAATCGGAAATGCCAAGTATAGTTGACTATATTCCTGATGACAAAATGGATCCACCTCGCGGCCGGGCGGCGCACCGACCGCTTACAACGCGTCGTGAGCGCGCTAGCGGCTAGCGGTAGGCAAATTCGAAACAACGACGTGCAGGAGCCGTACGGGACATGTGCTCGTCATGTGTGCGATGACGAAGCGGATAAATTGATTTGTTTGAAAATTGGTGGGGAGGTAGCTTTAGAACTTCGACACGGACATCGAATACTTTTCATGCAAAGATTTCCAGATCTTACGGAAACGGGAAAAAGCGGCACTACGCTTACGAAATTGCAAGCAGAAACTAGTTAATTAAATATTTTGATGTTGAAAATAAGCAACAAATAAATAGTGCTTTATCATCATCATCATCAACAGCCTGTTTTCGTCCGCTGCTGGACATACGCCTCTCCAATGGCACGCCACTGAGCTCGGTCTTCAGCTCTACGCATCCAACCACTACCAGCCACTTTACGTATATCGTCACTCCATAAATAGTGCTTATTTTTGTTAAAATAAATGTATCTTGCTTTGGGCCTACAATCAATTGATTTTTTAACCTAAGTAGATTATTTTGACCAGATATAATTTTCAGCTTATTTCTGAGGTATTTGAGAAGTAATGTCACAAGCCTTTACTTGTGAACATTGAAGAATAATAATGGTTGCATTTTTGGAAGACAACTAAACCAATATTGCGGAATTTAAGTCATTAAACTGTCAAACACCAAGCGGTCACCGGTGACCGCAACCTATTGTTCTATAATTGTGTCTACAAAACCGGTACACGACGAGTTAAATGAATGTGATACGCATAAATGATTGTGACATGTCAAGTGATGATATAATATTTATAAAAATGCGTGGAAAGGTAGAAGTTGTTTGTTACATCTAATAACTTAGAATTACATAATTAGTAACGTACCACGCAAGTATGTCTCAATTGATTAAACAAACAGAAGTCATATTGGAACCAAATATTCAAGCTTTGCCACAAAATGTATTGCTAAATATTCGCGCATGCTATTCTTTTTTGATCTATCCTTTAACTAATATAATTTTTACTACGCTGAGCATCAATTAAAAAAACAAGAACAAGAAACTGCTGTGTTATAATAGATACAGGGTGTAAGATATTTCATAACATAATGTATTCTTTGGTCTGCTATATCTATAAGCACTCTTTCTTTTTTAAGTTTAACTGGTTTGTGCTGTGATGATTCTGTGACCACTTGAGAAAAATCCTGTACTATTATATAAATTGTCACACATACATACAAACATAAAAACGAATAAAAAACTAACCAATATATCTTAGCTTTTTACTCAAATTACTAAATTTGTACAAAATACTAAAGATTTTCTTAAGTGAAGGTATTTTGTACTTATGAAGAAAAAATCTGGAGAATTTCTTGAGTATGTATCAGTTCTTTGTAATCTTCCAATATAAAAGTAACACTACTGTTAAAAATGATTTTAATGATAATTACCCTCATCAGAAAGCTCGGCAGATCGTTTGATGGCGCCAATTTTATTAGGAGTTGCATTAGTTGGCAATGGCGGAGGAGGTCTACTGGCGTCGAAACTGCAATAAAAGAAAATAAGTTTAAAAAGGAGATAATAAAGGGTGTACAGCGGAACTTTTTCTAATAAAGTAACGTCACAAATTTCTTGGCTCGACTAGAGGGATGGAGCAAAGCATTAGCAGCGCTGTCTTTGCTGTTCGCGTGTAATGGCGAATATAAAGGTCCACTTACAAGAGTGTTTTAGAAGAAACGGTCATTGCTTGGACATTATTTTAAAAATTATAATTCACATAGGTCTCTAATCTTCTTTCATTTTAAAAGTAAGATTAATATTTTTTTATTTTTTATTGAATATCAACATCTAATAATACCTGGTGCTTTTGATTACCTACACCTACAACGTTTACAAGTACAACAATTCAACTATTCTCCAACTTTTCGTTTATTTTTTAATGTTCGTATATATCTGATTATCAAGTATAATTTTTATTTCAGTAAAATATGACCGTTTTATGCCGAAAAAAAATATTAAAAATTTGTCGTAACATATACGCGCCAAAAGACCGACCGCCATTTTGGTGACGTCAATAGCACGAAAATATTTAAACGTCAAATGGCTAAATCATTACATATTATAAACAAGTTGGTTGCGTTGTGATTTTATTGTATTTATAAAATAAATATGTTTCAATAGCCCGTATTGTTGGTGTATTGCGTTAAATTGCAAGAATTCTACATTAAAATTTTATTTATTAAACACAAAAAGTAGTTAAAATTTGACTTGACAAGAATGCTATTGTTTACTATAAAATATTTCGATGCTTCCGACGTCACTCTCGAGAAAATCATGGCGGACGACGTTTTTGGTCACGTGACATACCTACAGATAATAAAACTTTGATTTTAATTTTGAGAAATTAATCCTATGTTTTTATGAAATAACAACATTTTTTTTAATTCCACACGTTTTAAACTATTCAAATAACTTAACGTTATAATTTATTGTTGATACATGAAAATACCCTATTAATAATACTAAAACAAAGAAAGACTTACATATGTGGCAGTGGTGGTGGTGGCTGAGTGGCAGTAAACATTGCAGGACTGGTAAAGGAAGGTGGAGCTGTAAAGTAAAATTTAATGTTTTAGTCAGTTTTTTTATAATAATACAGATTAATTCTCCACGGACTCTAGGTCCGTGCCCTTGTCATGCATTTTTTTTTATCATAATACATCTAGTTACTTTTTATAAAGAAAAGAGAGTACCTAGTTACACACTTCAATTAATTACATCTATAATTATTACCAAAAGTATAAATTACATAATAATTAGGCATTACCTATTTATTTCTATTTCGAAGGCTTCATGAAATCAGCCCACCAACAAGATAGGAGAGCCGACCTGACCCAGCAGGAGGCACCCGTTCACGAGTATGACGTGTGTGTCAGCAATTGTTCCGGTCAACCTTTTTATTGGGAACGGAACAACTCAACACACAGCGCCACCGACTGTAGGACATTTATGTGTGCATGACGCCTCAACCCTTGCCACGTTGGCCGATTCCAATAGTCCAAAGTCAATAGGTTAATTTCTATTTGTACATGTTTCTGCATACACATTTCCTCATGTTGCATTCGTTTTATCACAAGCAACATTGATACTTTATCTATATAGATATATTGTGTTTGATACTCTAGTCAAAGTTGTAATACTAATTTTACTAAACATAACATAACGACTTTTTCTCTTTTTATCAGAGGCAGTAGGCAGAGGTGCACATAATACGGCAAATAATGCTACTGTGCAATGGAACACTCACTTTTCACTAATTAATTAATTAAGTTATCAGTCCCATGTAATAGGGCGTAAGCCTATAGGCGTATACCGGGCATAATTTTACTAATCACACTTTATAAATTGATTCAAAATCATGACTAAATCAATTTTAAAATCCATAAAAAGTTAGTGTCATACATAATTCAAATTTATATTTATATAATACTAGCTTTTACCCGCGGCTTCGTCCGCGTCACAAAAGGATGAAAAGTAGCCTATGTGACATATACCAATACACACTGCGCCATCTATACTAATACTTTTGTTTTCCCTCGGGAATATCAATTTTTTTCGGGATAAAAATAGGGTTATAATGTAATCCGGACTTCTAATTAAGACGGACGGTCGGACGGTTAAGTAGTTACGGCGTGCAAGCGGAACAAACAAACAAACAAACCCACTTTCCGATTTATAATATTATAGTAAGGATTATGTCCGGATTGACCGACTGATTCATTATTACCGCGCGCAAACTATCAATGTTACGCGAGCAACACCGCGGGAAATAGTACTATCATAAAATCAAAAGCCAAAGGAGAACGGCAGACTTGTATGGAGGTTTCGTACCGATATAAAATTTTGTATTTGTCATTGTTTTAACCAAGTAAATGATCTGAACGATAGATATTTTTATTATGAAGTTTAGAAAATAAATGCATATTTTTAGAACTTGGGGTTCAAAAGTTATTTTACTTTGAAAATGTGCAAAAGGTAAGTACGTAAAGGCGGTATTACACTTGACATTGCGTATTCGCTTCATTTGTCCAAATATATGTGGACTACGTACAAATGGCGTCCAAATAGTATCAATAAATGTAATAGCGTGTACAAGAAATAGAGATCCTGACCAACATAAAAAACCTAAAAGTAGACAAGTGTCCTGGCATTGACAAAATATCAAACGAGATATTAAAACATGGAGCGCCAATATTATGCCACCCACTCACGCTTTTATTTAATCGTATACTTGATACTGCTACCACACCTTCTCAATGGTCAGACTCCAACATAATATTGATATATAAAAAAGGAGACCCAAAAAATATTTCAAACTACAGGCCTATTAGTATATTGCCAAGCCTCTACAAATTGTTTTCATCATTTATTGAAAAAAGAATAAGCTCTACCATACAACTTCACCAACCGGTAGAACAAGCTGGGTTCCGGAAAGGATTCTCTACAGTCGACCACATACATACTTTAGAGCTCCTAATAGGGAAATATTAAGAACAGCAGAGATCTCTATATGTCGCCTTTATTGATTATCAAAAAGCATTCGATACATTATCACACTCAAGTATATCGGACACGCTAAGAAAACATAACGTGGAGAGACAATATATCGAAGTTTTAAAAAACATCTACGAAAAATGTACTAGCAAGGTGAAATTAGAAACTTTAGGTCCACAAATTGATATAAAAAGAGGAGTAAGGCAGGGTGACCCACTATCCCCTACACTTTTTATTTCTGTGTTGGAAACCGTTTTTAAACAGCTGGATTGGAATGGCTGTGGCATATATATACAAGGAAAATACTTTAATCACCTAAGATACGCAGATGATATAGTTAAGGTGTCTGAATGCTCTAGTCAATTGCAACACATGATAACGACATTGTACTTTGCAAGCATACAAGTAGGACTTGAAATGAACTCGTCAAAAATAAAAATTATGACTAACAGTACACAAAAACCTATTAATGGGAATAACATATCTCTCGAATATGCCAAGGAATACATATACTTGGGAAAGCAGATCTCTTTTGCTAAAAACAGTAATTTATTAGAGGTAGAACGGCGAGTTAATCAGACTTGGAATAAATACTGGAGTCTTAAAGAAGTGTTCAAAAGCGACCTCCCAGTAGAACTAAAAAAGAAAGTAATGGATTCAAATCTGCTCCCATGCTTAACCTATGCATGTCACACATGGAAATATAGCATCGCTGTTAAGAACAAAATTATCTCATGCCAAGGGGGGAATGGAGCGCAGCATGTCCAATATCAAAAAACAACACAGAATCCGTCACTCAAAACTCGGAGCGAAATCCAAAGCAATTGATGCAGTTTCATATGCACTTAGACTAAAGTGGAAATGAGCAGGTCATGTAGCAAGGTTACAAGACAATAGATGGACAAAAATAATTACAACATGAAAAGAACCAATAGGAAAAAGAAAAAGAGGAAGACTGCACACACAATGGGATGACTAAATCCTGCGTGTAGCTGGAGTACGCTGGTGGATACAGCAAAAGATCGAGAAAGATGGCAGTCTCTGGAGGAGGCCTTCACCTCAGGGGTTCCCTAAAATTATACTTACTATAAAATAATATGTTTTTTTTGGAAATGTACATTTCTTTTTAATCGGGAAATATAAGGATTTATTAATATTTATTTTATTATTATTTTTAATATGATTTTATCAAAATTTTTCTATTTTATAAATCTGGTAATATTATCATTATACGTATTAAATCTGGAATATCTTAAATAATATTTTATAATCTACTAATGATAATAAATGTTTTAAATAAGAGTTAACTCTTATTAATAATGTAACATGTTTCCTGTTATAGAATTACAATAATGATGCATTTCCCCATGCTTGAAAATTTATCAGTGCGCTTTGTGCTCATCAACGCCATATAAACAAACGTCTGAAAGGCGTCTGAGGATGCCTTTTGAGGCTTGTCATTTTAGTATGGTGATTTATCTCTATTGTATATCTCAATGACTTTAGGTACTATTTGTGGGTTTAGTTTAAAATGCCGATTGATAACCATGTCTTAAAGACATAAAATTATTCTTTTCGCCTGTGTACATGACTATGACATAAGGTTGGGAAGCTGCTCTTGAGCATCTCATGAAAAGACGAGTGGTAGTGTGTAATATCACTTAAGCTTGTGAAATGTAGGGTAAACATGAACAGGTAAAAAAACTCTTTCAATAACTAAGAAAAGTACCTAAACTAAAAAGTAGCTACCTAAATACCTAATTCAGAGCATACTTGTATTTTGACACTTAATAAAAAAAACAGTAGGTACCTGAAAATAGGGGTGGTGTCGTCTGAACAGGTGTAACAGCTGTCGTTGGCGGCGGCGGAGGTGGTGGAGGCGGTGGCGGTGCCAATAATGTAGATGCTGGAAGAGGTGGCAACGCTGAACTAGGGAGCGGCGGCGGCGGCGGTGGAGGCGGTGGTGGTGGCGGTGGTGGTTGAGCTAAATACTCGTTCACATACATGCTCATCGGTGCGTTGGACATCGCTGCATATCTTTCCGCCAGGGCCCTAGGTATTTGGCCTGTGGTTAGAAAGAGGTTTTCTTCTTCTCTACTCGCATGCAAATATGTGCAATCTGGTCTATTACAGCCTGTTTTGTTTTGGTAATCATGACAAAATCTCAAAATCTCTTTCATATATTCTACATCTAACTCATGTCGAAATTTACACTGTGCACCTTTAGTGCATATGCCCCAAACAAAGTCACGACATTTTCTAAACTGACTTTGTTGATCTGAAGTTTGTCGGTTTGCGGTCTGTGTCTGTGGCGGTAAAGGAGGCTGGTGGCCATTTTGTTCGTTGTTGTTAGTCATGAACTGAAAAATTAAAATAGGTACTATTATGCACGTGCGATATGCAATAATTAAGCAAAAAAAAAAAAATATAATGTGATCACAAACCGTAATCGCTTCAATTTCCGTAAAATTTTATGAATATATTATTTAGGTACACTACCACTTTCAGCTCTACAAGCAGGTAAAAAAGGTTTATCTCATTGTTACAGATTATTATTTAAGTATCTAAAGGTTGCCAATGACGTGCCCTTAGATATCAGCGATCATCACAATCATCACATCACATCACAACCGTCCACACTCACATATAAGTTATTTTAAATTCCGAGTAAAAGTACACACGCACACCGCCGCCACACTGATTGACTGTAAATTAGTGATGGTTAACTCGAGTACCTAACTCGAGTCAACTCGAGTTGGACGTAACTCGAATCCACTCGAGTTGAATTCTCTCTAACTCGAGTTCGAAAACCGAATGGAACCGACATGGAGCGAAGTTTGCCGATCATTTGAGTGAGACTATATTCATTTCTTTCACTGACATTCATTCATTCATAACAAACAAACGAGTATCATAACAATAACATGTAGATTTGAGGTTATCTTTAAAGTGCCGGTTAGTTTTTGCGTGTTATGCGTTGTTATGTTTTTAAAAATGCCAGGTCCTAAAAGAAAATCTATAGTTTGGGATGTATTCGAATCATCGTCAGTGAGTGGACGTGTTAGGTGTAAACAGTGTTCAGATTCATTCAAATATAGTGGAAATACGACCACATTATTAAACCACATTAAAAAGAAGCATCCTTCCACTGTTGCCATCGAGGAGAGTTCATCATCAACAAATGAAAGTACTACGAGTACTTCGGTTGATTCATCTTCATCGCAGTTACTGGTATCGACAACCACACTGAATGTTGAGTCTGAGCCTCCTCAAAAAAGGTTAAGGCACATCCACCAAACCCGTCTTACTGTGCCAAAAAAAATTACGCAAAATTCTGGTAATAACGCTTTAATAAATCTGATAGTTAAAGATTTGCAGCCATTTCAGATTGTCTGTTCCAATTTTTTAAAGTATTTATGCCAAGCTGAGGGAATAATAAGGAAAACACTCAAAAAAAACATTCACTGGTCCCTTCAGTTAACTCGAGTTACGTAATTCGAGTTCAAACCGGGTTACGTGGATTTTAACTCGAGTTAAATCGAGTTTTGTTTTTTCCGAGTTGGCACATCACTAAAATTGGTAACTGTGACAGCTACAAAAAAAATTGAAAGTTTTTGTCTCTGTCACACATCAAGGCATAGATTTTAGAGATGTCGCGCTGTTACTAAAAACAACAACTAACAAACTATTTAATCGACTTTTACATTTATACTACGTATCCGAACGTGTTTTATCATTCACCGTTGTCAAAAAACTCGTATTGTGATTGTCGAGCTGTCAACTGCCACACTGAAATGTACTGTAATGTTTTGAAAAATATCCACACCTCGTCTCAAAACAAATTCAAAATTCTGTAAAATCTCTTGTAAATAAAGAAGTACACAATGAATTTTGGTGGAACGTTAAGAGTAAATAAATTTGCGTGTTTCACGTTAGGTTTTATATTGTTTTTAATAATTTATTGGCGAAGTGGGAATGCTGGTTTTCCTTTGGAGAAAAGTGATCTTATTAACTTAAAAAGCTTATTAAAGGCGTCAATCCAAGCCGCTGAGATGGGTGGGAAGAAGGTTTTAGACGGAAATAGTCACGAACTGAATATTAAAAGTAAAGGTAAAACGTTGGAAGGTGTAAATGACCCGGTGACCGATGCAGACTATGCCTCACATTGCGCAATGTACTACAGCTTAAAGAACACGTTTGAGAAGTTGACGGTGGTGTCTGAGGAGCATTCAAAGAGTGGTTCAGGATGTGAAAACCAGCAAATGTTAGATGTAGACAAAGCATTGCCAGGAAACAGTATAATAGAGTATTTGAATGATGAATTAGTTTATATGAAGGATGTTACAGTATGGATTGACCCCTTGGATGCGACGAAAGAATATACAGGTAAACATTACAACTTTATCATCTATTCCTGTAATATAAAACACAAATAAATGCATGATTAATAATAATCTAATAGGTAATTTATTTACTTAGCATGTGATAGCAGTGTTAGTGAAATGTATGTTTAGCCATATTGTCACCATAAATGCTGATAAGGCAATAAAAAAAGAATGTTTTGTTACTTCTATGGACTTATTGGTGCACTTTATTTGTAGTGTTGTAACATGCCTTATTAATTACTAAAGGGAGTAGTTTGTTTGGCTAGTTTATAAATTTTAGGCTTTATGATTGATGATTAGAGTTTATTTTGTAATTTAGAGATCATTTTTAACAAATGAAATCAATATAAAAAAAATGTTTTGTCTACCTCCTGTAGACACTTACTAGTTATATTTGAATCTTTATTAACTCGTTGAGTACCATAATTATAGACACAATTATAGAACAATAGGTTGCGGTCACCGGTGACCGCTTGGTGTTAGACAGTTTAAATGCATGCTTATTACTTAATCTGACTATAATATAGAAAATGTATAGTCAAAATTTATTCTGAATGTTTCCCTTAATTAAAATGATAACATTTGTTAAACTAATTTAGATAAAAATACATACAACTGATTTGTTTTTATTCATTTCAATTTATAAGTTTTGTACCAGTATTTTCAACTTTAAATATCAGTACATAGGGTTACATAATTGCCGGGAAAATATTTTTCTTTTTGTTTTAAAATCATTTGACATTTTCCTTTATAGTACCTAGTACCTACGATATATTTAAGACAAAAATATAATATATAATTTAACTAAGGAAAAAATATTGTTTGTGATACTAATTATTTTATTTTCTTTTAAAATATTGTGATTACTGATTATAAAACAATTATGAGCCTGTAAATGTACCTATGTACATACTTGCATCATAATGTTAGTCTGATTTTATTTTAAAAAGACTGCTATATAATTTCATAGTTTAACTGATAGTAAATATTATTTTTAATTAAAATTCGAGCCAAAAATACTTAAATAAATGATTCGATTTCAAACAATAACTTTTTTGTTTCTTTAGTTAGTAGGTATAACTCTCCCAATACATTATAAATAAATAATATAAAAAATATAGAATTGAAACAGATAAAAATATAATTTTTCTGTTCCAATTTTTTAAAGTATTTATGCCAAGCTGAGGGAATAATAAGGAAAACACTCAAAAAAAACATTCACTGGTCCCTTCAGTTAACTCGAGTTACGTAATTCGAGTTCAAACCGGGTTACGTGGATTTTAACTCGAGTTAAATCGAGTTTTGTTTTTTCCGAGTTGGCACATCACTACTGTAAATAAATAGAGAATAGACCAAAGATTACATACAGGAGTGGATTTGTCCAACACTTCTTTTTTCTTCTGTGGCAATTATCCACTGATAAGATAAGAGTATGGATACGAAACAACCACGAAAAATTTATAAACTTCATTTGGTCATCTGTAATGGCGGATAGAACTAGGGATGTGACTTTAAAAATTGTAGAAATATCGATACTTTAGTATTGGTTTTAATTGACTTATGAATAAAATATCATTATTTTATGATTCATCTGGATATAATATTTATCTAGCTAAGTACTAAACATTATCAAAATACTAGCGAAATATATCTAGTAGTTGCTGCGTGCACTATCACTCCAGTCGATCGTGTCCATACATTCACATCATAACTTTCACGATACTTATGTATCGAAATTCATGAAAAGGATTTTCCATCAACTGGTCAACATTTACATACTTAAGGTTAAGTAAGTTATGAGGGTTGAAAAATAAAACTGTATCAAATTATTCATAAAATCAAGATTTATAATATACAATATCTTCGTATTTTTCATAGTGTTTCCCTGTAATGTAATCTGCAAAACCATCTTTCGAGAAGACTCCAGAACTGGTTCCAAATTCATTTTCATGCACATATCTGGCTAGATGCTGCAACATAAATAGTATAATTTAACATATTTGATCCAATCGAACATAGATTTCTCTATAGATTCTATAGGTACTGTACTAAGCTCTGAACGAAAATGTTTGTACATTACAATACCGAACCCGGTTAGTTATGAAATGTTAAATAAAATGTTAAGTTTGCACCTCTTCAAAAAATGCTTCCAAAACAAACACATAATGAATAGTTTACATTATGATTTACCAATAGACCTTGTAGCGATAGGGCCCCATCATGTAGATTTACTATTAATTTATTGTTCGGATAAAACATTAATCTTCAAAATAAAGATAACAAACAAAGATATGCTTCCTTCTAGTATCTATATTTCCCACATTAATTATTTCCAACAAAGCACTTCTGCGTGGTTCAAGCATAAACTAAAAAGAAAATTTATAATATTACTAGCTTTTACCCGCGGCTTCGCTCGCGTCATAAAAGGATAAAAAGTAGCCTATGTGACATATACCAATACACACAGCGCCATCTATAACAATAATTTCGTTTTCCCTCGATAATATACAGTTTTTCCGGGATAAAAAGTACCCTATTATTTAAACTGTCAAACACCAAGCGGTCACCGGTGACCGCAACCTATTGTTCTATAATTGTGTCTACAAAACCGGTACTCGACGAGTTAATCCAGACTTCTAACTTTACGTCTGCAAAATTTCAAAGCAATCGGTTTAGTAGTTACGGCGTGAAAGTGGAACAAACAAACAAACAAACAAACTCACTTTCCCATTTATAATATTAGTAAGGATT